TGCAGCGTGTCCTGCTCTTGCAAGCCGTTGACGACAGTTTATCGATTTTTTTTTTTAAACATTGCCGTTGCGGACATTCTGTGGCCGGTGCGTCTGGCGGGGGTGGAGGTCGTTTGGTTTGTGCGTGGAGGTGTTGACGACGCCATACCTGACATCAGGAGAAGACGTTCCGTTGGGAGACGTGATTAATCGATATATACATATATATATATATATATATTGTTTTTGGCACTGCGGATCTACCTTTCGCGAACATCATGGAACCCTCATCTCCGATTCTGACAAAAGCCGACTGGGATTGCATGCTCACCCTAGTTTTCATTATCGTCCAATGGGTGAACCGCAGGAACGCCGCAGCTATGGCTGTCCTCCATGCTGCAGCAGCACTCCCGATGTGTGGTGCAACGGTGCTGGACACTATGCTGGTTCTCGCTGGCGCTGTCATGCATAGACTGTCGCTCATGAGCTGCGCCATACAATCCATTGGCGACAATATGGAGACGAGAAAGAGACTTTGGGTGCTAGAACGCAGTGGGGGGGTGTGGAAGGATCTGCAGAGCGTAGGGACACATCATGACCGAGTCTTCCGGCGGTTTTGCAGACTCCCTCGGCCGCTTTTCAACGAGATCCTGGCACGGATTGCTCCCCATATCCAAAGGCAGAGCACGAACTGGAGGCAGCCAATTCCAGCAGGGCAGAAGTTCGCGTGTGCTCTCATGAGGTGGGCGACAAGGGGCTACTGCAGGCAGACGGCGCATGGATTGGGGTTGGGTCTCTGCAGTGCCTTGTGAAGCAACGAGGACGTGGCGGATGCGCTCCTCAGGGAGTACGGGCACACCATATCCTTCCCGACTGGAAGGAGGTTGCAAGAGATGATGGACGCCTTCGAGAGGAAAGGCTTCCCGGGGTGTGTGGGGGCAATTGGCTGCACCCACATTTACATAGAGAAGCCCAAGAACGAGAGGTCCGAGTGCTACTACGATAGGACACGGCAGTTCTCCATCATCGCGCAAGTCATTTGCGACCATGAATGTCGAATCTCTAGCGTTTACGTTGGATGCCCTGGGTCTGTCCATGATTCGCGAGTCCTTCACATATCCCGTTTGTACCAGATTGCTCAAGAGGGCGGGGGGGTATTCGGGAGCGGGACAGTTGTTCTGCGCGATGGGCGGAGCGTTGGTCGGTATCTTCTAGGCGACTCAGGCTATCCACTGCTGCCTTGGATCATGACCCCGGGCTGGCGCGGTCCAAGGACTCCTGAGCAGGTGGTGTATGACGACTGTCACACCTCTGCCAGGTCGTGCATCGAGAGGACATTTGGGCGGTTGAAAGCGGTGTGGAGGCACTTCACCAAGCGGCAAATCGTGAACATGAAGACATTGGTGAAGGAATTCATGGCTATATGCATTCTGCATAACTTGATGGTGGACTCGAGGGTGGTCGTCGATCCGGATCTATTATCGGATGACAACGACGACGACGACGGCGACGATGTGCACAATAGCCGTCGACGTCGTCGACGTGTGCGCATTCCCGACAATGCGCCCCAGCAAGCGCCTGCTATGGATGACTCCGCGCCTACCAGCGACCTGGCGAAACACATACGATTGAGCCTTGTCACCCACGTTAATCATCACGCACGTGTCCATGGCGCCCCGGCACCAAGCCCTTGGCAGACATGATGACCTGCCCGCAACAGGTAAAAGGGTTGGGGGGGGGG